CGCCTGCCAATGCAGGGGACATGGGTTCAAGCCCTGGTCCGGGAAGATCCCACATGCTGCGCAGCAACTAAGCCCATGAGCCACAACTACTGAGCCTGTGCTCTAGAGCCCACAAGCCACAACTACTGAAGCCCGCGCACCTAGAGCCCATGCTCCACAACAAGAGAAGCCACCGCAGTGAGAAGCCCGCGCACCACAACGAAGAGTAGCCCCTGCTCTCAGCAACTAGAAAAAACCCGTGTGCAGCAGCGAAGACCCAATGCAGCCAAAAATAAATAAATTTTTTAAAAAAACAACCAACAATGGCAGCTCAATACATCCTCAAGTTGGCTCGTGGGCTATGTTAATTTATAATCCTCTCTGCCATGGAACTTAGAACTAGTTAGTGCCTAGAAACTTAGCTGGAGAGCACTGAGGGAGGACTAACCAGCCCTTCCTGGTGATGTCAGCCAGCAAGCCCAGCTCAGGCACCTCAGAGTCGGTTTCCTGACTTTGGAATTTGCAGACAGCCTTTAGTCCTCTTCTCAGTTTGCTAGTGGCACTCATTACCTTAGACGGTTGGACTAACAAATTCTCCATCATTTCTGCTCAGAGGCCTGATGGGTCCTGATGGAATGGTTCTCTCCCAGATACCATAGGGCTCTCTCACCAACTCCCCATCTTCCCTTCCACACCCAGCCTCCTCACAGAATTTTACTACAAAGCAAAGCTTAGAGCACAGTGTTTTCCGTATTTGCTTAATCTCTTACTAAAATACTATTAACTGTGCCAGGACCTTTCTTCTTTTAATTTTAAAACATTTTAATGTACTTCTTAAAATCTTGATTTACAAGACCCCTTGTCTTACTGCCACTGACCTTTCAGTACAAAAATTTTACACTATCTGTTTGCTATAAAACTACAACATTAAGATCAGGGTTGGATAATTCTTCCCTTGCTGGCCATTCTTTTATAAGGAATGTCCATTAGTCTATTACTAATTGCTTTACAAACTTGATCTACAGTCTTTAAGATAACTCTAAGGGTTAAATATCATTATTTTACTATTTTTACTGAAAACTGAGGCTCAGAGAGGTCAGACCAGGTTTCAAATCTAAGTCTGTGTGCCTCTGAAGCCTATACTCTTTCCACTGTTTCATGCTAGAATAGTAGCACCAATTAAGTAATACAATGTTCAAGGTATTATATGTATTATCTCTCGAAGTCCGCTAAAACCTAGCTCTATGATGCTAAGTGTATGAATCAGAGCTGTGTCTGTATGTATGCAGCCCTCCTTCTGGCTCTTGGGCTGACTGAGGTTAAAAATATAGAGATAAAGGGAGTTCCCTGATGGCCTAGTGGTTAGGATTCCGGGCTTTCACTGCTGGGGCCCGGGTTCAATCCTCAAGCCACACAGCCAAAAAAAAAAAAAATAGAGAGACAAAGAGGGCAAGGTGACAAGATTAATCAAGTTACATAGGAACAGTACGGGGCTAATCCTAAAGATAGACGGTTTCTGGAAGACAGAAAGGAAGGTCTGAGAGAAAAGACATCTGGAAATTTTATTTTCACGTTTCTCCTTATTAGTGTTGTCATTGATGGATACCCTGTATCTAAATATCAAGTGAGTCTTTTGGAAGCCAGGTCAGTCATCCCCATGGTCATCTTTGAGTTGGATGTGCCTTCCAAAGAGATTTTCAAAAGATTGCTCCTGGAAAAAAAAAAGGAACCAAGGTAATGTATGTGATGAAAACAATGATAAAGGAATAAACTTTAATCAACCAGAAAAAGCAGGTTTTTAACAGCTTTTTCCATTCCTTCTGTTTCTCTATTAGTTTGCCTTATCCATTGCATAACAGCTCACAGATTATAGCTGTCAAGAACTCAAAGTACCGCAAAAATATTGATGAGATTAGGCAATATTATCAAGAACAACATCAGAACTGGTATGTGATTGATGGCTTTCACAGCAAATGGTGGGTATGGAATGAAGTCATTAAGAAGGTTAAAATGGTGAATAAACACATGCAGATATACCTGGGAAGAATAAAAGCAGGTAAGAAAACGTGTAACTCTGAAAACACAATAAAATGTGAATTTGAAGTCTAGGCATGCCTAACTCATGTTACCATAATTCATTCAATGTGAACATTTGTTCCCATGACCTTAATCAGTATTTTAAATACATAGTATTTTCCAATTATGTGGGCATGTATATTTGTTCTAATAAATGACTGCCTCTACTCAAGCTATCAGCTTAGCTCTCCAGCTAAGTCTCTAGGCACTAACTAGTTCTAAGTTCAGTGGCAGGGAGGATTATAAATTAACATAGCCCGCAAGCCAACTAGTGGATATATGGGGCAGCTGTCATTTATTCAATGTCCATGTGAACCTATCACCTAAAAACAATACATGGTCTCTCACTAGAAGAGTTTATGGTGTTTGGAAAGCCATGTAAGAAGCTAGTTTCAAGAATAGTAGTTATATGAGGGCAGGGGTCTGTGGAGTGACACTTGGCAAAATTTTGTTTAGGAATCTAGAATTAGTTATTTTTACTATTTACTGTGAAATTATAGTAGTATGTAAATGTTGATTCTATTAAAAATTTAATTTGAACATAGAATGTTTTTAATCTATATTTGGAATCCATGAAAGAAAATGTTTGATTATATATTCCTAGAAGTTTCTTGATTTTTCTCCAAAAATACACAAAATAGAAGGAAAGTTATCTACATCTCATATCTCTAAAAAGAGTGATGATGCCAAAGAATTTGTCTGGAGGGGTTTCACAGACATCTGTTTAATGACTTTGTTTAACTTTGGAAAATACAGAGAAGGTATAAGGAGGTATGAGGGAGCAACATGACACAGAGAATCTTATACAAGGAAAAATGCAGTGAGGAGTCTGATAATAATGGCATCATTGAATCTTGATTTGCTTCATTATTTGGGCATCACCAGCATCTCTGGTTCCTGTTTGTCTGCAGACTGGGAATTTGTTTTTACCTGAGGATTACAAGGGATGAAGATAAGAGTGCAAGGGAAGAGAGAACTGAGTTTTAGAAACCTACTCCCAATAAGTTTTGGATAGCATCACACTAGTAGAACATTCCACAGCAGGCTTTGAAAGCAAAACTTGTGCCTCATTCATCTTTCTGTTACCCTGCTTCACCTTTCCTGCCTCAGATTGGGTTGCCTGAAAACAGACTCATGATGAAAAGTTGTGTGCAGTAGCTTTATCAGGAAGTACTCTCAGGAGTCGAGTTGCCAGATTAAGCAAATAAAAATACAGGATGCCCAGTTAAATTTAAATTTCAGATAAATGACAAATAATTTTTTTTTTTTTTTTTTTTTTTTTTCCTTGCGTTATGCGGGCCTCTCACTGTTGTGGCCTCTCCCATTTGCGGAGCACAGGCTCCGGACGCGCAGGCTCAGCGGCCATGGCTCACGGGCCCAGCCGCTCCGCGGCATGTGGGATCTTCCCGAAACGGGGCACGAACCCGCGTCTCCTGCATCGGCAGGCGGACTCTCAAGCACTGCGCCACCAGGGAAGCCCACAAATAATTTTTTAGTCTAATTATTTCCCAAATGTTGTATGGGACATATTTATACTAAAACCTGTTCGTTATTTATCTGAAATTCAAACTTAAGTGGGCATCCTTTATTTTATGTCAACTCTAATTAGGAGATACACCTGTGGGGAAGTGAGGCTAGTAGAACCAAGCAGAGGGAGAAACTAACCTGCAGTGTGGTGGAAACAGAAGCCTCCCTGGATGCTATAGGGAAGCACTGGAGCTAGGATGGACCTTCAAGATTTCCCACATTGAGGGGAGAGGCCAGGCTTTATATCCTCCCGTTGGCCTGTCATTGACCAAAGGTAACTCCAGGAGGGGGTATAACCTGTAACAGAGGGGCCATTCCCAGTGCAGCTGTGATCCATTAGCACAGATATTTCCAGCAGCTGGGGGGTGGGTGCATCAGCCCTGAAGGGAGGGATGCAGATGGGGCACCACAGTATCTACTACATTATTCCAGATATACTTGCCTCTGCCTTAAGTAGTTTAATCTAATTGAAGCTGCCCTCTTGCTTTCCTGCTTCAGCATCTACCTAATAATCTATACCTGATTGTTTGAATTTAGTTTTGATTTTTTTTTATATTCTCCACTTGCTTTGTATGTTATTCAAATAACCCTCCCCTGTCAGGGGGCCAGTTTATTCTCGCTAATGAGATGGAGCAAGGTCAGGGCTAGAAAACTAAAGAGATTCCTCCTCATTCTGCCACATTCCAGAAAAGGATATATAGACATTGCCAGATGTCATCAAGACTATCCCAAGAATCAGAAAAAGAGATTCTTGAGTGTCTTTTAGGACTTAAAGTGATTTGAGTCTAAATTACCCTGTCACTAAACTTGTCAGAATTGGTGAGGTCAGCACATCTGAGCTAAAAATCAACATACAAGTGTAAAACTATATAGTACCATATAGTATAATATTATAGCACTATATAACACTATATACTTTAACAACACTATTATTATACCATAGTACTGTGCGTTATAATACTTTAGAATAATATTACACCAATGTAGTATTATAGTAGTGTAATATTCTTTTTAGGAAAGGATGGTTGGGGCTTCTTAACCTTTTCATTTGTATCATAAACAATGGATGGAATAGTGGATTCGTTTGTCTATTGCTTCATAACAAATTATTCCAAAACTTAGCAGCTTAAAACAACACACACACACAGTCACTCACAGTTTCTGTGGGGCAGGAATCCAGGCACAGCTTAACTGGGTCCTCTGCTTCAGGGTCTCTCACAAGGCTACAGTCAAGGTGTGGGCCAGGATTAAGATCTCACCTGAGGGCCCTAATGGGAAAGAATCCACTATCATACCCATTCATATATTGTTGACAAGATTTCGTTCCTTGAAGGCTGTTGGACTGAGGGCCTCAGTTTCTTGCCAGCTGTTTGGCCAGGGGCCACCTTCAGTTCCTTGCCATATGGACCTTTCCAACATGGCAGCTTGCTATACCAAGTGAACAAGATAAGACAAGAAAGAATGCCAACAGGACAGAAAACGTAGTCTCATGTACCTGTTTCAGTTTCCCAAGGCTTCTGTAGCAAATTACCACACACTGGGTGACTTAAACAACAGAAATGTATTCTCTCACAGTTCTGGAGGCCAGAGGCCCCAAATCAAGGCATTGTCAGGGCTGTCCTCACTCTGAAGCCTCACGGGGAGTATCTGTTTCATTTCTTTCTCTTAGCTTCCAGTGTTGAGAGCGATCCTCTGCATTCTTTGGCTTATAGACACATCACTCCAATCCTAAGGATTACTTTTATATTTACACTGTCACATAACAAACTAATCCATGCTTCATAATTTTAGTGTTAGTGTAAGACCTTCCTTGGCATAATAAAAAAAAAAAGTGAAACTTTTCACTGGTGAAAAGGACCATTAACAAAATATATTGGGATCAAAATTTACTCATTATATTTAAGATGTATAAAAAAGTAATTTTATTTTCTGTAACATCTCATATTGTTTTGGAGTCCCCATTCTAGTGGAATACTAGAGAGAAAACTCTTAAACTTGTCCATTGAATGAACTTGGGGGCTTTTTTTTTCTTTTAAATAGAGTTGTTAGGGTAAACCTAGTTACTTTTGGGAAAATGTTTCTTCCCCTGTCTTGGGTGCCGTCAGGGCACAGGGAGAGGTTTGTGTCAGTAACATCATGTCAACAAACTATTTTCACTTCCTGAAATCTATCCCATAGAAAAAATTTAAATATGTAGCAAATTGATGTGTGTGTGTAAGTGGCTATGTATATATACATGTACATATATGTGTGTGTATATACATATATATTGTTTATAACATATATATAGTTTATAATAGCTAAGAATTAAAAACAACCAAAACATTTATCAACAGATAATTGGTTGAGTAAACTATATGTACATTTTTACAATGGAATACTGTGCATAAATTAAAAGGAATTAGGTAAATCATATAAACTGATATGGAAAGGTGTCAAAGGCCATGACTAACTGATAAAAGCAAGTTGCAGAATAATGTTTACAGTATAGTGGCACAAGCATCTTATATGCAAAAGATATATACATGTGTATATGCAAATGTATAAAAAATCTGAAAAATATACAAACTCAACAGTGATTACCTCTCAGAAGGGATGTTGGATTGAGAGGATGGAGGTGTGAAGAGAAATTTTTACTTTTTACTCTGTGGAATTTTACAATGTGTACTCATTTGTATAGTGCTAGCACAATTGAAATTATTTTCATTTTGAAAATGATTGTGTTTTCTCTGAAAAAAAAATAATAGTTAATCTGTTAATAATAGGAAAAGCTGCCTGCATTGACAAGTTATGTATCTCACCTGAAGAACTGATTTCTCGCCTGGGCGAATTTGGACAGTTCTGCCCTGTCAGCCTGGCAGAATCACATGAATTAGTTGATTGCTCTTTAACTGATTCCTTGGAATTTGCAGCAGAGTTCAGAGGGCACTATTATAAAATGAGTTCTCAGGAGAAATTGAATGTAAGTTTGTTCCTAACTCCAAATATTTACCAGGGAAAGAAAATACCTGTCTCAGAATTCACCAAACAGGAAGGGGTGGGCACAGCTGGGAACACCCAGGAATTGGGGACCAGCAGCCCCAGTTTTGGAAACTGTGACCCTGGATTCAATGAGGCAACTCAGAGTCCAGTCCTAAGACTGCATCCCAAGACATATTTTGGCACAAAGCAGAAGTTCAGGGTCAGTGATGGACCCTCCACCTGGGTCAGCTTAACAGGTAGGGAGACCCGAGGGTGAGCCTGCCCGTGAAGGGGATGCTGAGTATCTGGGTGGGGATTCCATTCAAAGGGTGCAGAGGGAAGTCAGAGTCAGTAGAAATGAAGTAAGACTGACGTATGTCTCCTGTGCTTTCAACTTTTTTCTATCACTTTAATTTCCTGTGTACCGTATATTGCTATTTAATGCAGCAGAATACAGACTTGTTCTGATATTATAATGACCATAATTTGGTGATATAAAAAGGTTGTAGTTGAAAACTAATCAGGTGCCTCTGAACATTTTATTTTCCTCTGAAGAATTTGAATTTTTTATCACTTTAAGAAAAAGACATTTATTTCTTCCTGCTTATTTAAATGATAATCACAGAATTTTAAAACTGGAAATGACATTAGAGGTCATGTACCTGGTCTGCTCCCTTCATTTTAGAGTGATAACTGAAGCTGGAGAAGCTAATTCACCTGCCAAAGGGCACCCACCTAGTTAGTTATACTGTAGGACAGGAAGACTATGCACTCCAGTGCCTGGGACATAGTAAGAGCTCAACAAATGTTTTCTGTATAAGTAGATGAGTGAGTGAGTGAGTGAGTGGAAGTAGGAGAGACCTTAGATGAAATCACTTGCAAGTGTTACTATAAGGCACTTGCAGTCAGGGAAGGAGCTATAGTAGTGCAGAAAGCAGCTCTCAGATGGTTTAAAGGACGAATATTGCTACTGAAAATGGGGACAGTAGCAAGAGATCCTCAGTGGATTCTCACTGGCATAGTATTCCTGTCTCAAGCGGTCACGTTGCTGTAATCTTTTCTTATAGAGATTTTTGGAGAACCCCAAATTATACGTGCCTCCATTAGCACCTCATCCTCTCCCGTCTGCCGACATGATGCCCAAAAGGCTGACACTGTCGGAGCTGAAGAGCCGGTTCCCTAAGTGTGCCGAGCTCCAGGGCTACTGTCCAGTGACCTATCAGGATGGCAAACAAAGGCAAGTCCTTGCCCTCGTGCAAGTAGAGGATGACAGCTCTACTCGGAATAAGTGGTCCATATAGCAGTCTTAACATTTTGATCAAAAGGTCACTATTGCTTAACTGGAAAATGTTCTATTTCTTCCTTGAGTGGCAAAGAGAGAAAAATAAAATATCTTGACACTTTATTTATACAGTACTGCATATTAATTATACAATACATAGTTGTTTTTGTTTGTTCCTTTGTCTTTCAGATACGAAGCCCTAGTACCTGGTAGCATTCACTATGCTTTAGAATATCGTGATCGTATATATATCTGTGAGAGTAGAGAAAAACTTGAGAAATTTTTGAGGTGAGACCATTCACTAAGTCACAAACATTTACTGAATATCTATGTTAACTGCATCATGCTGGGATAGATACATATGTGAGTGAACACACACACACACACACACACACGTGCATATATACATACACATAGCTGAAGGGGCAGCAGTTACTTACCTACTGCCACACATTTCTGTTTTTCACAAGAAGCTGGAAACCAAATTTCTTCTTACATTTATCTGATTTTTAAACTTTTGTGACTGATTCCGTTTTTTAAAAATTACAATGTGGATCAAATCACATCTGTAGATAGAATTTGTGCAGTAGTTTGTGACCTCTAGTGAAGATCACTGTCTGAAGAAATTTAACAGTAAAAAGAGAAAAGACATTAATTGCTGGAAAGGATATAGGACTGAAGGGGTGAAGGAGTGAAAAAAGGATTTTCTTTTTTCTTCAATGGGAAAGGTACGAGCATGTTAAAATGCAGGTGCCTGGGAAGGATCCAAAAAAGAAGGAAATGCCAAAGGTGGGAGAGAGAGAGAAATTGCTATTTAAGATTTCTGGAGAGAGGGTGGAACAGGGATGCAAAAAACGGGTGGAGACTGATCTTAGCTGGGAGGTAAGCTCCAGCGTGGAGAAAGGAGCCTCTGTGTGGCTCTGCTTGTGGTGAGCAGTCTTGAGGAAGTTTCGTTCTGATGCTTCTCCTTGGATAGCCTGGCCCCCATGTGGGGGTTACTGGGAGAGTTAGAAATGTGAGGGCAATAAAGGAAGCTTTATATAGTTGCTGTGAAAAATAAGAACACTGAGGAGAGCTGAGCAGGGCTAGGGACCCAGGCGAAGCTGGCCGTCATGAACTTCTAGGAGCCCCAGTCTTCCCACTTGTATCATTTTCTCCATGGGAGAACATTATCTTTCAGCAGTCTCTTGTGTGTCCACCTTCCTGTGTACACACAATGAGCACATCTGTGGGCATCTGTCTAATGGATTTTGTGTTCTTAGGTCACCACTGAAATACTGGGATCAGAAGCTTCCTTACAAACTTCCCCCGTTAAAGGAACCGATGTATCTCACTAGTCTGCCTTTGCCTGGATATCTGGAACAGGTTCACTTACATGAGTTTCTATGCATAGATTTTAGAAGACTACAGCAATCTCTTCTTTAACATTAATTTTTATTTTGGTAACAATGAAATTCAAGGCAGAGTTTCCTGATTTTAAGGTGCAAATCCACTTTTTTTTTTTTTTTTTTTTTTTTTTTTTTGCGGTACGCGGGCCTCTCACTGTTGTGGCCTCTCCCATTGCGGAGCACAGGCTCCAGATACGCAGGCTCAGCGGCCATGGCTCACGGGCCCAGCCGCTCCACAGCATGTGGGATCTTCCCGGACCGGGGCATGAACCCGTGTCCCCTGCATTGGCAGGCGGACTCTCAACCACTGCACCACCAGGGAAGCCCTGCAAATCCACTTTTAACCTGTTTTGGTTTTGAGTGGTTATGAAAATAAAATGTGAGAAAAGCCCCTGTTTCCATAGCTAATTCCCAAATACCTGCACTACAGTGAACAAAGAGTAAGATAATTATTTACATCTGACTTGTAGTTTGTTTCTTATTTTGAATTTCATTGTCTGTAAAACTTTTTCTTAATTTGAAATGTGTAAATTCAGTCTCTAAGAGGTTTTTTTCCCTTGCTCAAAAGAGTTGAGTTGAGGTGTCACCACAACTGAACCACCAAACACATATTTTGCTCAAAATCTGGATGAAGCTATCTACTCAATCACATCTTATTTCTCTAAATATACTTCTTTCTGAATAAGTCACATTTATCAGTAGCCAACCACTATTTTAAAGGGTTTTTTAAAAAAAATTTCTATAAAACAGTTGCCTAGGGCACAATTTCATTCCTTTCTTACAAATCCCTAATCACTTTGCTTTTTTTCAGCTCCCCTAGATGGTTAGCCTTCAATCTAGTTTAATATCAAAAGGCAAGATGACACTCACCCAGAAAAGGGTGTTCTCTTCTTTTCCTGCTTGGGGCTCCAGAATCTCGACTGCAGTGATAACTGTGGTCTCTGGAATTCCTAGTCAGGTGGCCCAGGGTCCTGAGAGTGGGAGGCAAGCTGGCCAGTTCTGAGCAATGGAAGCAGAGATGGGCCAAGACAACTCAAAGCCCAGTGTCCCCTCCTTTCTTTTTTAACTTTCTGTTATGGGAAATGCCAAACATATAAAAATAGAACTGTGTAATGAAACCCACGTATCCATCACCTAGCTGGCACTAAGCCAATTTGTAGTTTTTATTTTTCCTAATCAAATGTATTTTGTGTTTCTGTCCTGCTGGCTAAGAGCTCATTTAACTATCTTTGTAAGCTCCCTCCTCAACCCCAGGAGGCTATTTGAGGCAAAGAATAACCTCTTTATCTATTTGCCACAAGAAAATAAAACAAACTCAAATATCCACATAATCCGTTCCCTACCTGCAGGGTATCGCAACTGCTCTAATTAAAGCCATGAATGCAGCAGGATGCTTAAAGCCCAAATTCCCCTTCTTAAGTGTACAGAGATCTGCGCTACTCTATATAGCATTTCATCTAAAAGGTATGTCTTTTTTTTTTTTTTTGCTAGAAATGATATGCTACTCAAAACTAATTTAATATTAATTGTAGTATAATGTAATAAATAGGATTGTTGAGTTGGGTTGGTCACTTGCATGGGGTGTGTGTGGTGTTGGTAGCAAATATTTTAGCAAAAATATCAAAACTGAGTTTCTAGTTTTTAAAGCAGGGGCTACGAGTAACCTAATCAGCACTCAATAATCCATTCCATATAGGAAGGTGAATAGAGACAATTATGATCTAAAATAGAATAATCCCCAAATCTTATTTGGGATTTGGATATCTTCTTGGCCATAGCTGTGCAACTCAATCACACACAAAGTTCTCCTTCTCTTTAATATAATGATTCACTCACCTAACAAAAAACATTCACAGTCCTGTGAAATTTTCTACAGCCTTTAATCCCAAAGGTTCTGAGTACACAAGAAAAAAATATAAGAAGAAGATGGAGCAGTTTATGGAGAGATGTGAACTCATTCCATACCTGGGTGCCAAGATGACCAGAAAATACAAGGAACCTCAGTTTAGAGCCATTGACTTCGATCATAAATTACAGACCTTTCTCTCTCTTAGAAATATAGACCCAGTCAATGGATAGAATGCTTGGGTAACTGCACCCAGAATCTTAAGAGTTACCTGAAAGGGATAAAAAGCAAATAGATTGAAAATCTGGCCCTCCCTGACATACTTTTCCCTCCTGAGTGATACAACACGGCTGCCAGACTTCAAATGAATTCAGAGCTCTGCCAGCCAGGAAGGAGTGCTCTTCTGCAAGCCTAAGTTTTCATATAATTGTAATGTTTATTGCTCTTTGCCTGAACTTTGAGGTTTTAACAAAAGTTATTCCATTTAGAATTCCATTTAGAATATTTAGGTAACTTATTTTACTTAATGAATCTATTGTTCATTTTCCTTTTTAATATTTTCAGCAGAAAAGTCAGTCTCTGTCAAATGTAAAGTCATTTATGCAGTAAATGTTAGAAAGCTTCAAGAAACAAAATTAACATGGATATAAATAAAATAGAAATATTGGTTACACTTTTAACATAGGGAGTTGTTGGTAAACTTCATGAACCTAAAGACACTTTATCATTTTCCCAACAAAATAAATGGATTTTGAGGTAACTAAATGGCTGCTGCTTTTCTTTTTCTCAAGTATCCAAGGAAACATGCTTTATACATTATTCTGTAGTTAGAAATCACCTGGATATTTGAGAAGGATGAAATCTAGAGTCTTTTCATATGACATTATCAAGAAGTATGTGCTAGAGGAAAATTACTAAATTGAATTTGAATGAGATTTTAAAAATAAGATTATCAGT